GGGGGGGGGGGGGCTACAGCCCAGCTCAGCCCCCCCTATATCCGCCCCTGACTCTATGTAGATCGCAAATTTCAGCATAATACATGGGACAGAGGTCCTACTTTTCCTGCCATCAAGAAAAAGCAAGGGACCATTTTTCTAATATATTTTTCCCTGTTCCGATAAATGTAACAATTGATATTCTTTTGAAATCACACTGCAGTCTTAGATTAAGCATGTTTTCTATTGATCACAATTTATTAACCTATTTCCATGACAGTATATTACACAGGGCAGTGCAATTCCTTCCGAGCAGACCATAGGCATGTAGTGGCTACATTGAAGAACATCTCCTTGACTATTTACAACCTGCAGGATTGAAACAGGATTTAATTTATAAGGTTCTTTAAAGTCTCAAAGACCCAAAGGAAAACCGATGATCAATTTGATTTAAATAAAAAAATTTCTTACGCGCAAAAAATATATATTCATCATGTCGATTAAGCACTAAGCATAGATTTCACAGGGAAAAGAAATATGTAGGAATGTAGCACATTAGATCTTTTGGTTGGATTTGAGAATATAATTGGACGCTACTTTTTACAAGGGTCCCAACAATTTATTTATAGGCACCTTTGGCATCAGCAAAATAAATTTATATATACATACATATGTACTTAGTATATACACACACACACACACACACACACACACACACGCATGAGTACTCTGCAAACTAAGCCATCTTTCTTAAATATAAGAAGTTTACCTCTAAATCTTTTCTTTTGTACCACTTCCCTTTAAGCATGAATTCTTGATCTAATAAATCGTTTTCTGGATCATATTCAGCCCTGCAGTAAAAAGCAGAAGCAACAAATTTTAATGAGTAATAAAATCATCAAACACAATATCCTATCAAAAATGCATATCCAATACTATAAAACTGGAAGTTATTTTCAAAATTTTCAAATTCATTTCAATGTATTTGTCAAAAAGAAATCCATTACTAAAATCAGGAATAATGAATGCCACAGTTTTTCGTTCATGATACCGTATCACACAATATGGTTTAGCCCCAGTTTGAGCCACATTACAACTTTCATTCTCATTCTTCTATTCATTTTCAACCACACGTTCTTCAATAAAATAATATTTTCCATTACATCAATAACTTTTCATTCTTTTTTAACCACACATTCTCCATCAATCCACTATTCCAAAATACATTCTTCCAAAATAATGTGGCTCAAACACACCTTTAATCTCTTTATCGGGAGGATATTCATTCTCTATCAATTTTATCCAACAATCTTGTCTTCTTTGTTTTAGTTGGATGATTCAAATCCTTGACCCCACAACTAGACTATTAAGTTTCAAAATCATTTTTCCCCAAAATTATTTTCAACCACACATTCTATGGGACCCACAAATTTTCTCCACTTTTTAACAAAACATCTTCAAAAAAAATCATTTTCCCTGGGAAAAATCTGTGCCAAACAAGTTTTTAATAGTAATTTTGATTTTTACTCTTCTATACATTGCATACAGAGAACAAAACATAAATGTATGAAAACTCTTGGATACAGAAATGCTCAACATTTTGCCATAAATTTTTGAAACTACCGAACTATGCAATGAAAGCTTCAACATTTTACAATAAATCACAAAGAGTTAAACTTGTCGCATCTCACATTGTATTGTCTTTTGTTTCTTTATGCGTGTTGAGATACACTTCAAGTCAAATTTAGTTTAAAAAATGTAATGTAAGGTGCTCCATCCTTCCAATTTTAATATAAAATTGGACCAAAACCATCTGCAACCACCAAGAGCTCCAACTAAATTAAAGGTTCTATTTTACCAATCAAGGATTAAGTTACTATAACAACTATAAATTCAGATCATCATCTGAACCTCAATAATACATTACATCAATTTCTTGCACAAAAACACCAAAAAACACTTCTAGTCCTATCAGAATAAAAAACATTCCTTTTTTCCAGCTTTGATTCACTCTTTTTGTAAGGCTTGAAGTGAATAGTGTCGCTCATGCTACCTCTTTATCCCCAGGCTCCATTGATGATCTTGTATTACTGAATTAAGCCTTTGGTTGCCTCCCAAAAAATAAGAATAAAAACATTCGAATATTTACCAATTTTGCACCCAGCTAGTCAGCACATAAAACTTATCAAATATAAACCAAACCTAGTCACAAGAATAAACAAACACAACAGAAAAAGTTGCACAAGAGAGAGAAAAAAATAAAAATAAAAATTAAACCCACCCAAAAAAATGCATAAAATTCAGTTAATTAAAGCTAAAACTTGTAGCACACAACAAAATAACCCATCTCAAACTTTTGAAAAAGATTAGAATTTTACCATCATATACTCATATGAACAACATACATAGACAAACTATAAATACATGCAGAGAGAAAATAGGGTCAAAAAAATAATATATATTATATCCCGTCACCTGGATGGTCTTATAATGAAGTTGATAAGCTGTTCCATATAAGCTGACTCTTTTCCCTTTTCGTTTCTTCAATTTCTGCAAATAATGGTTCTTGTTTCTTGCAATACGTGTGTGTATACATAAAATTACTGGAACATCTTGTAAGCAGTGTAAATAAAAAAAACTTCTAATAGTTTGAGAAAACGAGTAAATAAAGAGCATTGTGGGGTTTGTGATCGGAGAAAAGAAAAGAAAAGAAATAGAAACCGGCCTCGGTTGTTTGTCTTTGTTGTTGTCGAGTGAGTGGCCACTTGCGTTTGTTTCTTCCAGGGATGGACATGATTCCCCGATTGAGGTTCGAAGACAATGGAATTGAACCACGAATGATTTTTTTTTTTAATAGAACCAAATGTCTTTTTTTTAGAACCAAACCGAAATCAAACCATTGGTTCTGGTTTGGTCCGATTTAATTTGGTTCTAATTTTATTATTGATTGAGGGAAGAAGAAAAAAAGGAAGAATATTTGTGGAAGACGAATCGAAGGTCGATGCTTCAATTTCAAAAATTCATGCAATGGTGATGACAGAACGTGATGGTAGACGAGATGCGGTAATTGTTGGTCCACATGTGAGAGTCGGTATATAAATTGAAAATGGAAGAAAATGAGAAATGAATTAAGATCTGGATATTCAAAATAAATTAGGGTCTCAAGTCTTCACAATAGAAATGAGAAATAGAACGTAAATGACCTTTTTGTCTTGATTTTCAATTGAATAGTGAATTTTTTGTGTGAATTATGATTCCATAATTTTTGTGTGTAATATAAAATATTAAGTTTGGTTTTTGGATCTAGAACTAGAATTGAGCCAGAACCAAATGGTTCTTAGTTCTAAGAATCAGAACAATTAATTTGTTTTGTAGAACCGAACTCGAATTGAATCGCTCAGTTTGGTTTGGCTTTGGTTTGATTTGGTCATTTTGTCCATTCCTAATTTCTTTCAAAACGGGAAGATATGGAAACAATTGCAACACCGACAATATATAGATGTTATTCCTCAATTGGTAAAGCAAAACATTTAGGCCCCGTTTGATAAGCCTAATTTTTCAAGGAAAATGGAAAATGAATTCTTTTTCCCACTTTTTAACATGTTTGATATGTTTAATTTTCCAGTCAATTTTTTTTCCCTTCTCTCCCTCACGCGCCCTATTTTCCACCAAATGAAGGAAAAACATTTTCCATCTTTCAGTTGGCAATAGATTTTCCACCCAAATTTCACCCAAGTTTGAATTCACGAACCCATTTCCCTTTCACTTCTCTCTACGCCGGAACCCGCTCGTCTCATCCTTTCACGCCGAATCCATTGCTGCTGTCTTCCAGTTCAGCCCAGTCGACGACCATCTTCTTCAGTCGTCGCTCAAGTCGAACCCTGTGTTGCTTCCTCCGACGTAGAAGTCGTTATGGGCTGCTTTGTTTCTCGGACTTTTGAACTGGTACAATGATTTGCTAGGTGGGTTTTTCTTCTCCATACCCCCATATGCTTTGTCTGCTAAATTTTTCTGTCAGTCATATTTTCATGATATTTCTTTAGTCATATGATGATAAAACGAGTTTCAATGGATTCTGTTTTTGTGAATTCTCTCAGGGTTTTCATCGTAAGTTTTTGGATTCAGCAATTATGTTCGCCTTGTTTTTGTTAATTTCTTTTTCTTTACAATAATGTTCTTTGTTGGTTTATAATATTATATGTGTTTCCCCGTGCTAATTTCTTATTTTCAAATCTATATAAATTTGTATGTTTTGATACACTGGAGATCTACAGTTGTTATTTTCATTCGTACGTGAACAATGACACAAAATCGACAAAACTCTATGGGGCCTTTTCCAGTTCCCAGACCGAAAAACCCTTGAGACGGGAATCAAGTTGATTTGGGTAGAATGCAAGTGGACCTGAATGCGAGGACTCGTCGAGTATGTTGGAGTGACGAAATGGATGGTTTTATGATCACTTCACTTGTTGAACAAGTGTTCGCTGGGCACAAACGAACTGACAACGACTTCACTTCATTTCAAGTTTCTAAGGCAATGGAAAGGGTTTTCAATGGATGTGGGGTTATGGTCTCGGATAAGAATGTGAGGGCAAGGTTGAAGACTCTTAAAAATGAGCATGCTGAAGTGCAATAATTGCTGAATATGAGTGGTTTCGGGTTGGATCCTGAAACAGGAAGCATTGTAGCAGATCAAGTTGCGTGAGATGAATTTATTAAGGTATGTTTGCTGAAAAAATTTAATACCCTGTTCATTTGCTATATGTTGTTCTTATGTAGCATGCATTTCAACTGTGAAGCATCATTTTACATGTAGAGTTCGATAAACTATCAATGATAGATTGAGGTAAATGAGACAGATCTATATCAGATCGATAATTCATTTGTTACTATGAAAAAAATTGTTTTCAGTTTACAATAATAATGCGGTTATTAGACATTAGCAGTACACTGAAATGCTTACGTTGCAGGGAAAGCTAGAATTCGGGAAGTGGAGGACCAAACTTTGTCCAAGATATGATGACATGGAGACTATATTTGGTAATGATGCAGCCACTGGAGATCAAGTAGTGTCTGGTTTCGACCATTTTTCCCAATTGAATGGTATGTAATACATTTTAAAGCTTCGATTCGAGTATTTTTTTCTAACAAGTTGTTATGTCTTTCACGTAGTCACTGATGAAAGTGTGAATGAGATGGATATGGAAAATGTAGAGATGGATCATAGTCCAGTTAATGCTCGTAAGCGTACAGTCGAAGAGGGGACGCAAAAAGCCAAGCGTTGACGTAAACAATTGGAGGATGAGAGTATTATCACCCTGTTTTGTGGAACAAGATGATAAAAATCTACTTGTTAAAACTTAAAACTGATGTTGAAGCTACAAATGTTTTAACTACATTGTTGATAGAAATTTTTAATACAAATGAGAGCCTCCAAAACAGTCCTCTTTATGTAGTGGCAGAGTTGAGAAAATTTTTTGTGGGCTAACAAATTGATTTCAAAAAACAGTCTGGCTCAGCAAATTAAACAAGAACTTGCAGCTGGTAAGTTTGTAGAGGCAACATAGACGTTGAGTGAACTCGAGGATGTTATTATTTCTAGCAGCAACTCAGTGGAAAAATAAACATTCTGAATCCCGTACAATGATATATTTTTGCAGTTTATTCCACGATGAAGAATTTTACTCGGTGAAACATTATATTGCTTTACACTATTCAATTTTAAACCATTGTTTTGTATTAACTTTTGTTCATGGATTCTTGGAAAATGGCTATCAAACATCAATAGTGGGAAAAAAAATTACATGGAAAACAAAGCATATCAAACAGCTAAAGATGGAAAAAATCATAATTTTCCATAAAAAAACGAAGGCAATCAAACACCAAAAGATGAAACGTTTTTTAGGTGAAAAATAATACCAATCAAACGCAACTATTTGACATTTCCCGGTAAAACAAGTTCTAGGCAATTATTTTTCCTGGAATTCGCTTTCTTTCCACCCAATTTTTCAAGGAGCAATCAAACGGACCCTTAATTCTCAATTTTAGTGGTGGAAAACAGTTTTGAGTACTAGAAACAAGAACTGTCTTGTTCGATTCAATTCTCTTACCCACAACCGAAAACCTGACATCAACTGAACTTTTAATGTTTGGTTTAGTCATTAATGGAACTTTAGTCTGGTAAATTCTCTTGCCTTAATTTTGAAACTATTCAATGGTTTAGATCGTTTCGTTTTCATATTTAAATTTTGAATAAATTGTTTTATTTATAAGATTCTCATTAGTTTTCGATTCTCTTCTGAGTCTAAACTTAATGGTTTAGTTGGTGAAATAATGGTCCCATCTATAAGATTCTCACCGGTTTCCAATTTGATTCAATTCCATTCAAAACAGGACTAGTCTAAACCATGCCCACCTCTACTTGCTTTCCATTCAATAGGAGACATTTGTGATTGCATATGGTTTCCAACCAACATTATATTAAATTGGAAGGAGCACCCTGTGTAGATTTTTCAAAACTGAATTCGACTTTATATTTTTTGTCTTCACAAGGACTTATGACAAGTTTAACTCATACTTTCTTTATCTTCAACTTTGATTCATGGGCACGAGGAATAAGCGATCTTAAGTCACATTAATCTTCTAGTCGAGACAAGTTCGCGTTAATTCTTATTTTAACACCCTAACTTCAATTTTGTCCCGATATCATTCTACTTTTGTTGATCATACGTGACCATGAACACTTGGTTAAAACATTAAACGAAGTTGTGAACATTGGGAACTCAGAACCTATAAATCTCAAATCTAGGATCCATAGAGAAAATTAAGAAAATATAAAATTCCATTCACAAATGTAGTATTTAGGGGTCCCAAAAGTACGAAGAATGTCAGCATCTCCAACAACCCAAAATCATACATATGAACACAAAATTTAGCCTCCCGAGGAATAGCTCAGTGGTGCAAAAGATATGAGTGAGGTAGTCTTAGCTAAGCTATCAGTTGCAGTGTGAGGGTTCGATTCCTACCTCTTACAAGGTATGGAATTGAATTCTTTGTGGGCACCAGTATGTCAGCTCTTGTACCCTGACCTGTTGAGGCACATCCCTCTATTCACCATCTCCACAATGTTCTAGGGAAGGGGGGAAGGGTGGGGCAAGACGATGAGGGCCCTCAAGGTTGGGGTTCAACCTTTTTTTATGAACACAAAATTTAATTAATATGTCAATGTCTTTAAACCTTTTTATGGCCTAGTTTTTGTCAGTTCCTTTTTGTGTAGCTTCAGTGTCCGTATCTTCTTTAAGTAACATTTCTATTCTGTTTATTTATTACTTTGACAAGGCCTCTCAGTGTGAGGGTTCGATTCCTACCTCTTACAAGGTATGTAATTGAACTCTTTGTGGGCACGGGTATATCAGCTCTTGTATCCTAACCTGTTGAGGCACAACCTTCTATTTACCTTCTCCACAATGCTCTAGGGGAGGGGAGGGGAGGGGAGGGACGGTGAGGGCCCTCA